TCCCGCGGCCGAATAAAAACACACATCAGCGGCCAAATAGTAAAATTAATCCGACGGCGGCAGCGCGGCCGAGCGGCGCAGAGCCGCCGCGCCGGCGGGATTCAGGGATTTAGTCCAGCCTGGCGGCACAGCCGCGGCACAGCGGACAGTCGCCACCGGCCACGGGGCGGCCGTTGGCGGCCGTGGAAACCGGACAAAAACAGCAGGCGCGGCCAGCGGCTCCATTTCGAACAGTGCTCTGTCTCTCTCGCACCCCTACGCCCCAGGAGTGCGAGAGCGACGGCAAATGAGTGGAGCTTTGCGCCAATCAGCGCGCCGAGCGCTTATTGGCCGTTGCAGTGTCTGCGAGGGAAACCAGCCATCTGGAGCATCCACTGCAGCGTGTCATACCGCGGGCCGCTGGCAGTGCCGCAGCGCCCGGTTCCGACGGAGCGTTTCGTCTCTCTCGCTCCGCCAGCGGGACGCCCCACGAGTGCGACAGAGACAGAGCGACGGGCAGAGGCAGGCCGGTGGGAACGAGGGCGCGCGATGACACGCAGGGGCGGTGCCGCGGCACTAAGGACCTCGGGGGCCGAAGGGATGGGAAAGGAAAAGCCACTTTCTGCATGCGTTTGGCGACGGCACGCGACGCCACGAGACGCACGCCCCCGCGGCACTGTCTCCGTCTCCCTCGCACTCGGGGGGCGTCCCGTCGCAGGCGAGCGCCACAGAGAGAGACAGCGACCACTCTTCGGCATCGCTCGGCTACGCTCGGCGAGCGGTCCAATGTACACACTGAGGGGCCCGGCAACACCTATACTCTACCCACTACTCGGCAAACTTAACCCCTCCGTCGGCGCGGCCCGCACGATCCACGCGCCTTTATAACGCCGCGCCAAACATTTAGCGCGGCCGCGGGCGTGTTTACAAACACCGCGATGGACAGCGAATGGAGCCGGAAAGAGGCGGTGGACGGGGAGGGGGGAGGGGGCGGGGAGCTTGGCGACCTCTACCGACGGCTGCCGCGGCTGCCCAGCCACGAGCCCGATCGCATTGAAGCATACTGACCCACAACGCGGCGGCCGAGGACGCGCTGGACGTCGCCGCGTCACATCCGCGGAGCGCGAAGCCTTGCCGACACTGCCGCTTCGCGGTGGACTCCGCACGCTGCGCGGCTAAACGCGGTAAACGCTTGCAGTGCAGGTGCGGCGAGTGGGTGCAGGACGACCAGGACGACGGGGAGGACGGCTTTCACCGCCACGCCGCCATGTCCGCGGCCTAGCCCGCCTCCAAACGAGAGAGACAGAGACAGAGAGAAGGGAGGGAGGGGGGGAGAAAAAGAGGAGACTTCCCAAGGCGACTAATAAATTCGGAACGGAGTAGTCCCGCCGCGGCCTGCCCTTCCCTGCCCGCGTTAACGGTCCCAGGGACCCCGCCAGCCTCGGTGGGAACGCGGCGTGGCGCGGCGTGGCGCTGCATAAGGGGCACCACCCAATCATTCAAATAAACGCGCAACACGCGCAACAAGCCGGCTGGCCAGCCCCGCCGTTCACAGTGTAGCGACGCGCGCCCCGCCCGGGGCCTATTGATATGAGTCACCTCACCCTCCAGCAGGGCCCTTGGGCGAGCCCTCGGGCCCTTACTCGAGGCTGTACAAAAGGACAAGGCGAGGTAATACACATCCCGAGCACGTTCACTACACTACAGGGCGTCGCATGAACGCCGCGCCCTCCACGCTGGAAAAGCAACACGCCAGGAGAGCCTACAGTGCGCCAACATTAAAAAGGCATCACGGTGCGATACCGCTCGTCTTCCCATGGCGCCGCGCCGCTCCGCTCGCGTTTGCATGATAAGCCCGAGATAAGGCCAAAGGGCTCCCACGCAGGCAAGGGCCACGCCAAGGGCCACGCCAAGGGCCAGCGCGCCGCGACTCGAAAAATTCGGTTATCTTTGCCGCGGCTGTTCGTTCATGCCCACAGCGCTCGACAAGACACAGGTACCTCAAAACGGGGGAATTCGTCATGGACCTGCCGGACGAACAATGGCGCTCTGTCTCTCTCACACTCGCGGGGCCTTCCCTAGGGGAGCGAGAGAGAGACAGAGCAACACACAAGCGCGTGTCACTTCCGTGATTCTCGTGCCGCCAGCCGCGCCAGCACTGTAGTATCGAACGAGGTATCGAACGAGCACTCGCGGGGTTTCCCTGAGAGGCCCTCCAACCGACGCCCCCCGCCGCCCACTCCACGCGTGGCCGGCAGGGCCCCGTGTTCAAACACCGCCCTCGCCACGTACGTACCGTGAACAGGGACCCCAGCCTGGGGCCCTTCTCCTTGGCCAGGATCATGAGGCTCATCATGGTGGCGCCGCAGAGTCCATTATGGCGACAGACAGCCACACGCCCCCTCCTCACAAACACAGACACTTCCTAGCAGAGCGCGCGCGACAGGTATACACACGCACACACACACACACGCGCGCGCGCGCGACGCACACAGCGGCCGCGAGCCGACACGGCGCTGCGCGGTGCGACGGCGGGCGACGGAGCGCTCAACACCGAGTCCGCGGTCCGCGGCGACACGCTGCCTCCACCGGCACTGCCATCAGCCAGCAGCAAGCAGCAGCAGCAAAGCCTTTCGTGGCCGTTGGGCCGTTGGTGTGGTGGGGCCGGGTGGGGTGTGGCCGACGGCGGGGCGGGGCGGCGCGGGGCGGGGCGGGCGGCTTGGAAGGAAGGGGTACCCCCTGTTGCATGCCCTTACGGACCGCCGCGCCGTGGCGAGCCGCAGGACCAGGACGCCCGGCCTGTCCGTGTGTGCCTCTCGAGGCAACGCGACGGCACCACGCACTGGCTGCACTGCCTGCACTGCCTGGCCTGCAGGGTGATTCCCATCAGCCGATTGAGCCATTACCTGGGCGCTGTGCCCTGCACTGCAGGGCGTGCAGGCCGCAGCCCTGGGCCACGCCACAGGCCACAGGTGTCGGACTGACGGGCAGGTGCCACCGGGGCGAGGCGGGGCGAGGCGGGGCACCAGCTCGGCACCAGCCCAGCCCGGCGTCGCCCTGCCTACCCTGCGTCCAGCTGAGTCAATTCGACGACGCCGTGGTGCTCACGTCGTCGGACACGTGCGGCACCGCGGCGACTCCCTGGCACGCTGGCACCAGGCCATGGCCGCGGCGCGTGCCGGGCGCGTGCCCCGCGGACTCATTCCGAACGGTCCGCCTCTCTCGCACCCCTCCGGGACGCCCCATGAGTGCGAGAGAGACAGAGCGGGGTTCTAAATCAGCCGACAGAGGTCCCGGCGAGCGCCTGGACACGGCGTGCCACCGTGCGATGCGTCAAGATGCACCAGCGGAGCGCGTTCCGTAGGGGTGCGAGAGAGACAGAGCCAACGAACGGCGCGCTGCCGTCGGCCTGCACCTTGCAGCACGTGTTGGCGCGGCGCTCCATCCGCCCAGACGCCCGCGGGGACGGACCGGGACGGACGCCCGTGACGTCATCGGGGAGCTGGCACGCCGCGCACCGCGGATAACCATCACCAGAAAGAAACCGAAGCGACACGACTACGGCCAGACCTACGGCCAGACCACGGGTCGATCCCGACCCGCCCCCGCCGGCCTGCACGGCCCTAGCCGCCCCGAGCCACACACACTGGACTAGACTAGCGCGGTTCAAAGGCGCTTTGGGTCCGTACTTATACGCTTTTGGGGGCGGCCGCCTCACTCCGCGATGCTCGTCGGGCACCGAGACTGACGAGATGTCACCCCGTAGGCCTCGTCGCAGGGCACCCCGAGCTGGCACAGTGCCTGGGCCTCGAGGCAAGGCAGGCCAGGCGTCGACGCCTCCCCAGACGGGGCGGGGCGGGGCGGGGCGACACTAGCCGCGATTCGCGGTGCCGCGACGAGCAGGCTGGCCGCTGGACGGCTGGACGGAGCGCTGGCGCCGCGGCAGGCATCCCTTCCCTGTCCCTGGCTTGGCCTGGCTGGCCCTGGCTGGCCATGAAGCAACAGGTGGCCGCCTCGCCTCCCGCCTCCTGGCGACTTGAATGCAGCTGGGATGAGTCCAGCCCGGCAGGGCGGCAGCCCGCGGGGCGCGGGGCGCTGGACCGGGGGCGACGGCCAGGCCAGCGGGGCGCCAGGGGCGGCCAAGGGTGCCCTTTGGGTGCGAGGTCATTGTCAGTGACAGGTTTGGAGGCTGTGGCCGTCCTTTTGGAGGTTATGATGCCCTACATTCCACCAGATCATGACATCTCCTCTGCCAAGCAGGGATCAAAACAGAAGTCGCTAGGATAAGAATCCAGGGGATAGCACGGGTAGATCAACTGTGAATATTAGGGTCCAGCACTCAGCACGCATGAGAGAGAGACTGTTTCGAAAAGGTCTCAACGTCAAAGCAACTGTGAGCTAGTTTCAAGGCTTGCTGTGAAGGGGCACTTTTAAAAATAAATGGGTACTGAAGAAAGAGGTTCTCACTTCAAAATCTACCAAGCAGACTGTAACTCATGGCCAAGAAGATAATGAATCAAAATTTTCAAAAAATCACAACGAAGGATGAAAGAACTCAGGGACAATCAGAATGCTAATTGATCTAATGCCTATTCAGACATGTGCGACAAAATTCAGCTTCAGCAACTGCTTGGAACAATTGGACAGAATTTTCAGAGTGAAATATAATTAAAGGGAACCTGTGTGGCATGGAAATGATCAAGGTTATGGTCAGGTAAGTAAGCATCAACATTTGTGAATGACTAGGTAGAGATAGGTGAGAACCAACAATGTCTAGGGTGTTAGATAAAATTATGAGCAATTTAAATTAAACACAACAATGTTTTAAAAAACTCTTATACAAAACATACACTAATATGCATAGAAAACAGGTAGACACAATGAAATTCCTGAGAGGTGGGTTAGGAATGCACCATCAGGCTTCATAGAAAGACTGAAACACATCCTAACCTCGTATGATTTCCCCACAAAACAGAAATCAAAATTCAACAAGTAATCAAGAGAAAAAACGTTAAACTGACCTGGTAGTAGCTCGATTCAGCCATCTTGACGATATCCAACTCCAATCGGCCTCACACACACAGGACTTTCACGGAGGTAAATAACATTCGAAAGTTGAGTCCGTCAACAGTCTTAAACGTGCGCATGCCCCTGGACACAGGCAGGCCTCAAACACATTAGCAAACTTGGGTCCACTACACTTAACTATCCGTAAAAACACACAAACCGAGTTGTTTTCTCAATGAACACCATCCACACCGAGCTGTGTTGTCCCACTGACTCATACCCAATCAGATTCTACACAGCGATGATGTGCGTGTCAGATCTACTTCTCAAACTGATGCATCAGTTGGGCCGTTTTTATGCGATTCACGCTTGATTTGAAAGTAGTGCACCTGAAAGATCACAAAGTATGCAAACTAGATCAACTTTAAATCGCTCTTTTCGACTTAAGACAGTTTATTCGTTCAAGGTACTCCTTGCACAGGCGTGTTGCGTGACTGTACTTACTTTTATTGTTCATGTTTTGGAATGATCTTAAGAAAAGATTACCCAAGCCACATCAAATGATTCCTTGCATACACGCAGAATTAACGTTCACCCTTTGATTGAATTAAATCTTTTTTAAAATGCACCTGTTTAAGGCAATGTCCAAAGGTAGGGTCTTTCAGGTTAATGTGTTGGTACGACATTCACGGAAAGTTGGCTGCATTGGTCGAATTCCTTTGTTGTTATTTCAGCAGGGAAAAGTTTGTTTGTTTATTTGTGATGAAAAGTTGAACACAAGCCATTTTAATGGTTCAATCTCCATAGTTTCATGTGAACCCTTTGAATTGTCGAGCACATCATGAAGTGATAACCGATCAGAAAATGGCAGAAGAAGTGAAACCTGAAGTAATCAAGAAAACCCAAGATTCTTTGAAAAGACACATCAAAAAGCCACCGTTAACTGAGAAGCTTTTAAAGAAGCCCCCATTTCGGTTTTTGCATGACATTATTACCAGTGTCATACGAGAAACCGGCTTTCTCAACGGATTGTTCAGTCAAGAAGAACTCAATCATGAGAACATAAAAGACAGGGATGGCAAAATTGCATTCCTGGACAAGCTCATCAGTGCCGTCAAAATAATCACAGGCATTCCTCTCTCCGTTCGAGCGACTAAGATTGTTGCCGGCCACGAAGCAACTAAGACTAATGAGCTCCTTCAAGCTATTGGGCATGCTTTAGATAAGAAACTTGACTCAAAAGATGTCGCCCAGCAGTTGAGAAAGAAGGGTAATAAAAAATCTGATGCCTCTGATAGCAAAAAATCAAGCCCAAGAGAAGCAAAGCAAGGCAGCGAAGCCTCGAAAGAAAGGGCTGTGAATCAACCCGATGAGAGTTTGGATAAGAAGAAGCACTCTAGCAACAAGCAAGTCAAAGATGTACCTGCATCTAGTCAAGATGAGCCCACAGAAAAGAAGAAACGCTCATCTTCAACATCTAAGTCAAAACCAAAGGATACAAGTAAAGCAGCCAGGCCAAAGAAGGATGGTACTCGGCAAGAGACCAAGTCAGACCCACAGAAAGAATCTGAAAACAACAACGAGCCCGATGCCAGTCAGATAGATGTGCCATCAGCTACCAAACAAGAATCTGCCACTGCTCGCAATGGTACAGCTGAACCTGAAAGGAAGAGGCCCAGCTCAGCATCAAGGCGACCCTCCATTTCCAGACAGCAGTCGGAAGGTCATAGCCAGGAACACCAAAGAGAACAGCAACCTCAATCTGCCGCTACCGCAGTGCCGCCTGTGCCTGTAAAAAATGATTCTCAAGATTCTCTGCATGAAAACGGTACTTCACTGACATCACTTCCACCACTGACATCCGAACCAGCAAAAGGCCAAGCCGCTCAACCACCTGCTCCAGCTGCTCGAGCTCCCTCTGCCGCACCTGCACCTGTCCAGGCTCCAGCCCCAGCGGCGCCAGCACCAGTCCCCCTAGCCAGGCCAAGAACAGCTGCTCGAGTTGGAAGTGCACGCCCAGGTGCACCAAGAGTACGCAATAGAGGGGAAGCGGTAGTGGTTTCAGAGGACCTGATTAAACCAGCTCCTGTCAACCTTATTGTAGAAGATGACAATGCAAAACAACAAAATGATGATGAAGATGAGAATCTTGTTGTGGTTGAAAATGCATCTCTGGATGGACCTGAAAGTATTCAGCCATCAGCACCTGTTTTATCCCGTCCATCCAGTCAGCAGGGTCACTTGGTGGCTCAGATACTTGAAACGCAAAAAGAATTGGAAGTGGGGGCAACTATTGCAGAAAATGGTGACGTTCAGCAATTCCACACAGAAATTGAATGGGAAGCTGGAAAAAGAAGAGAAAGAGAAACAGCAGTCAAAGAAGTCGATCGCATGCGCACTCTGATTCAGACCTTAACAAGGGCTGCTCACCCGTTAGGAAAATTACTTGATTCTCTGCAGGAAGATGTTGACAATATGCAAAGAGAGTTGACTCAATGGCAGAACATGCAAGTGAGTTTGGAACAGCAGTTGCAAGTGGAAGAAACTCTCAGTACTCAAGCTTCACAGCCTCTAAAGGAACAATTAAAGCAATTACAACAAGCTGTTCGCTCTCAGCTTGACCAAATTGGCTCAGCAAAATCAAATATTTTTAATAATGATGATCGAATTAAGCGCCTACTTACAGGTGGTTTGACATAAAAACTGTTCACAATGACTCTCCACCGGTGTAAATTGTTTGGATTTTGAGCACTACTTTATGTTTGGTTAGTTTGAACAGAGTCTTATATAAATGTTAGTAACTTGGAAAGATCAATTTTATTTAGCACACTCATATAAGAGTATCATGTATTGTGTTTACAAAGTTAAAATAAATACAAAGACAAAGATTTTCTTATCGAATTGTGAATTTTTTTTCCACAACTTTGACTTATTTCTTAAAAAAGGAACAAAGACTTCAACGATAAATTCCATTTGGTAGATTGCTTATAGGTGTGAAAAATAGAAGAATAGAACAGTCGTAAACTCCTATTTTTCAAAAAATCCCGCGCAGACACTTGAAAGCAGAAACAATGTACCAACCTTATCCATTTTAGAACAAGCCAAGCCTGTTGTAATCTTTCAGGGCAATCGTAAGAAGAGACGTAACAATTCTATAATCTAAGTTTGTTCTAGTCTCACTGACATAAGTGTGAAATAAAGCACCAAATCTCAATAAAATTAAGTTGGTGGAGCTGACACTAGTCGCAGGAAAGTAGGTTATTGGCAGCTAGTGTCGTCGTTATACGCAGATTTTGACAACACAAGGCGGCTGCTAGCATGTCGTTTGAATGGACATTTATTGGTGTTTGAAAAAAATACATTCTAGCAAGGCGTTCTTACCCTTCGCAAGTTACTCACTGAGAGCATTTTCAACGAGTTTAGGATAAGATGAGTCCTGTCGGGTTCAAATTACCAACATCCCTAGAGGAAATGTAAGTGAATATCCTGCCCGCAGCGAAACGTAACCTTAAATGAGACACTTTTTTTTTGGTTTTGTAAATCAGACCACTATTTGCTGACAATTTATGTATCTCATTGGACAAGGGATGGTTTTTAACATGGAAACCGTAAAATTTTAATTTGAGACCAAAGCTTTATTTTATGTACACCACTGCTGGAGGAGTTTGAACCTACCGAATAAAATTTGTATTGTTTTACTTATTTCTGTTTGTCGTGCAGCTCCCCGTCTCCTCCAGACCAACAAATCGTCATCGTGTCTTTCTTTGGAAAATCGTCTTATCTTTCCCGAGGCTGCAAAACAAATGCTCTTGATGATGCCCTTGGACGGAGAGTGTTCAACATGTCATTCTTAGACTGTCCACGCATCGAATCTGAAATTTATGTGAGTAAATGAGATCAAAGACATTGTCACCCTGTTTGTGTATTTACTTCTTCTTATTCTTTTATAGACTGAGATAAAGGCATTCTACGAAACTAAGCAGAAAGTTCTGTATTTGCACCTGTGTGGAACCTTTGACATTAAGGGATTGACAGACATTTATGAGAAACTAAAGCCTGAACTTGCTGAAAAGGTACATAAGCTTAAAATGTTATTACTAGTTTGTGGTTTTCCCTCCTGCCAGATATTTGTAACTTTTATAATTTTCTTATAGGGTTTCTTAAAAGAATGGGCTCAACTAAGACACAACTATGCTCGATCTCTACTATATCTGTTTTGCATTTCACATGTGTTAGTATGCACTCATCCATCTGCTGTATTTGATGCAAGTTACATTCGGTTGTTTCGTGCTCTTGATTCTGTGAGGTGAGGACCTTATTTTTCTCTTTGTATATTTGAAAGGAAAGTTTGTCACAATCCTGAGATGTCTTTATTATTTCCAGACAAAAGGTTCAAGGATCGCTTTCAGATCTTATTTCCACAATCCCTGGGGTGCCAAAGGATTGGGGACAGTATGGCCGCTTGTGTACTCCCCGTTTACTGTTTTTGTTTGAAAAATGCCCTGTATCTATCAGAAGACAAAACATGGCTGAGTTAGGGTTTGTAATTTATTTCTGTTGTCTGTTTGTTTCTAATTTGTACGGAATGTAAAATATATTTGTATTATTTGGTTCTCACAGGGATCCTCAAGGAGCAAGTAGAAAAATTCCTTCATTGAAAAAGCTAGAGCATGCTATGGAAGATCAGATCTATCATGTCCTTCGCAAAAACAGAATTATTTCCAAAAGCAGGTGAATTGTCTGCCTTTTATTGTTCCCTTGTGCCTCAAATTTGTCATGCCTAATTCTGTTTTTCTGTTACTTGATAAAAGTATGAACAGTTTATTTGCTATTCCTGCAAATCAAGAATTTGTGTTTATTCCGATCAATGTAGACACCTCACGAGATTGGAGAACTGAATTAGTTGATAATGTCATTAATCTCTGCAATAGTTCTGCTTTTGGGACTGAAAGTGTAGAGGAACACTCCTTCCACTCCCCTTCATTTATAAATGAATTAAACTCAAATCGTAAGCACATTTTAAAAATAATTAAACCATCTTTTTATTAGAAGAAAGTTTTGCGCCTTATGTGACTCTGATATTTCATTTTTTCTTTGCAAAGGACATTCCTTCAAAGGGTTCCTGCAGCAGCACATAGATCAGGCCTTTCTTAAAGGTTTTGATGACAATGTAGGAAGACATTCTTCCCCAACATTCTTTCAGGTAAAGAAATAAATTTTAATGACTTCCAAGTGTCCTCCTCTATTTAATCTGTTATGACTTTGTATTTTGTTGTTGTGCTTTATGTGAGCCTTTGTATTTATTAGGTTCCAAAACTAAGCTTGTGGCTAGAAGTTTCCAGAAAAATGTTTGAATTTTTCATCACCCAAGAAAAGAAAATATCGGCTCCAAACCAGAGTGCCATGCTTCACAACTTACTTGACACCGATGTTAAATTTAGTGAAAGCCGCTGTGGGAAAGTTCTACCACTTGCTATAGCAACTTATCAAGACAACTTACCTACTCACTATACAAGAGAATACCATGAAGGAAGAGTAAGTGACACAGATGTTATGATCATGAGATCAGGTTTGTGTGTAAAGTAATGGCATTACTAATCATGGCTTTGTTACACAGCTGGCTCATGCTCTATCAGTCTTTGCAGTCCATGCTAGAGGACCTCTGTTTGAAGAATATGCAGGACAAGTTGAGGCCGAGTGCAAAGCTCACTGGAAGGCAGGCAGGCAGATGTGCCAAGTGCTCAGTCTAACTGGCAACCCCTGCACCAAGCCCTTGCACAGAGGTGGAGGTGATGGAGCTGGTGGTGGTGAATTGCAAGAAGAAGATGGGTACAGATACATAGGTTTCAAATCAAATTTGACATTCTCAGTAACTATATTTTATTAAATCCTTGTTTTTACATTTTTCAGGAGGGACCATTCGCAACTGCCATTATTGGAACACAGCAGTGGTGTTGTTTATGTTTCTGCTTGTAACTGTGGAAGGAAGCAGGGCCCTAGAGAAGATCCATTTAGTATGCGAACTGCAAATTACGATTTTTATTCGTTACTTGGAAAGGATTGTGGATGTTCTGATCTAGAATCAATAGGCTTCCCTGTTTTCACCCCCAGCACAAAAGACTTCCGGTAAAAACAATTCTGACAGTGCAAGAGGTTAGATTTAGCAATGCTCTGTTGCAACAAACCTTTCCTTTGTTACAGAGCTGCTCAGTTATTTTCTAACAAAAAAAATGGAAAGGCTGTCCATGAACTAAGGGAGTCCGAAGCCACTACACCCCAAGGAAACACTCAAGGACTTAGCTTTGGTCTGTCAAATAAAATACAATCTTTCTCAATGGGACTTGTATTCTACACCTTAACAGTAATTTAATATTATTTTTCCTTTACTCTGAACAGCTTTTGTCTCTGGTCAGTCTGGTGAAAGTGATTTAATTACTGAAGAAACAAGTAATGTCATACCAGCAAAAACTGATAGAGAGACTGACAATGGAAGCAGTGCCATTGTAATTCAGGTTTCTGATGGTGACTCTGAAGCTTCCAAGGGTATTTTTCTTCTTTGGATAAGGAACCATAAACAATTCTTAAAATTTTTTTTTTCTTCAGTCACTGTTATTTATTTGCCTTTTTTGCAGAGAAAGGTTTGGTGCGACAGCCTTCTACTACAGAGTACCTCCCTGGAATGCTTCATTCTGAATCCCCCCTCGGACTTCTTCCGCAATTTCCATCATGGTCTTTGGTTTGCTTGGGCCCTTCAAGTCTGTATTCCCACAATCTTGGGCTTCAGGAGCAGCAGCATGCTGGGCTCATTGCTGGGTCTGCTTATCTGCTTCCATGGGATCTAACTGTCAGGTTTGTGTTGCGTCATCTTTTTAGCTAAAATGAAAACAATGTGATGGTTGTAAGATCAGATTATACATATTTCGAATTTTTTCAGGCTTGAGCACCAACAAGATAGGGCTAACGCATGGCCTACTATTGGAGACGCTGCGTTTTCTAGGAATAACAAACCACTGGCCAGTAGTGTTCTTCAAAGACCTCGTAAACCTAAGCGTGATACGCCTGAGTTTGTAGTCAAAATTTTTGTTGGTGTTGAGTATGAATGTCCACGAGGGCATCGCTTCATGTGCTCAGCTCCAGACAAAGTACTGAAAACAACTGGATCTGGCCTTGTGAAAGATAATGGGAACAAAATAACTGGAAATGACATGCCTCTTTATTTCCCTTGTCCATGCAAGTAAGTTCAGTTATTTTTCGTTTTTGTGAATCTGAAGTTTTATTTTTTATTTAATATTATTGTTTTACTGAATGCCCTGTGGTGTTTTCAGGAACAGTAAACCTCTGATTGCCCAGCTGATGCGTGTTCATGTGGTTACCCCAAAAGCGCCCGTTCATGTCACGTTAAATCCCAAAGTGCAGCCCGCTCCCTCACCTTGTCCGATATTTGGACCAGGATGTGACAAACCCATAAGACTCTCTCAAAGTGCCTATTGGATTTTAAGGCTACCGTATCCTTTACAGTGAATGTAAATGTTACTTGATAATCTGTTTTGTATCTTGTCAAACCCTGGCTTTTTCCTTAATGAGTTGATAGTTTGTGTATGTTGGTGACCAAGGGCCCTATGTGTCGCCGAAAGAGCCTGTTCCCATCAACTACGGACGACTACTGGCGGGGATGTACGGGATCATGGAGCTGTCCCCGAACGAGAAGGCCTGAAGCAGCATGAAGACCAAGGCGTCTGGACCAACTGACTGTGATAGACTTTGTTTTGAATAAAAAAAAAAAAAAAACTACAAACGGCGTCACTCGTTACCTTGGCGATTTCTGCCTCTGATTGCGCAATGAACGCATTAAAAATTAAGAATTAAACAGCTTCAACTTGGAGTTTGCTCCCGGGCCGCTTGGGTCGAGACTTCCCTTTCCCTTCCCTCCGCTTTTTGCGTTTGGCGGGGGCTAAGTTGGAAAACTACATCCTACGTGAAAGGCAACACTACGCGCCGCGCGCCGCGCACTCCCCACGGCCTTGTTTGGCCCTCATTGTCCCTGCAAACGAGCGGGAGGGAGGGGGAGCATGTACCGTACCGCCTCCGCCGCGCAACCCAGCAGTTTAATTGTTACACACTGGACGGAAACAATGGCGCTGGCGTTTGGCCCGTGTATGTCCCCCTCCAGCTGAAGGGCACCCGTCGTTGACGACCGGAATCATTTAGTTACGGGGGAGGGGGAGGGGGGCCTCAAGGGTTTTGCGCGGCCAGGGGAGGGGGCTGCAGAGTTACAGGGCCTTGCCATGTCGGATTTATGACTCGAGCACGACACACTTGGCTGCTTGGCCTGCTGCCCCATCACGTGTGGCCGGGGCAGCCAGGGCCGCCGGCTTTGGCGGCAACATGGCCGACATGGCCTCCTGGAGCGCCCCGTTGATCCGGGCCATCCGGGCCTTCCGGGGCGCCGGGGCAGCGCTGTCCTGATTACGCGGCGGGCCCGGCAGGCCTGGAGCCTGGAGGTCATGGGCGGGAAAATGATTTGGCAGGGAGGCGGGGAGGGGCGGGATTAGGCAGGGATCTACGCCGTGGTGCGGTGGGGCGTGGAGCGAGGCGTCAAGGGGAGGGGGCGCGGCGGGGCGGGGTGCCAAGCGCCGACGATGCTCTGGAACATACCGGCTGAAATCCCTCTGAAACCGCTACGCCGCTACGCCAGGCTAGGCCACGCCGCCACGCTTCGCCTGCTTCGCTTCGCCTTGCTTCGCCTCCCCGCGCGTCTGAGCTGTTGTCGGGCAGCCCGAAGGCGAGGGTCGCCCCGCCACGGCGACGCAGGGGTGCTGTGCCGCCGCAGGGTACCGCAGGGTGGCTGCCGAGGCCACCATCGGGCGCCCTCCCTTTCAGGGGAACAGGAATAGCACGGCCAGCGGATGTCTCGGAGCGGCCGCAGCGGCGGGGCGAGGTCGAGGTCGGCGAGGTGCAGCCTCCGCTGGCATGCGTCCTGGAGTCCCGGCGCGCCGCGCGGCTAGGCGGGGCGCGGCGGGGCGGGTCGGCCTCCCTTGCCTTTATGCAGAGCAGCGGAGCGCCGCCGGAGTATTTACTTACATACCACTGCGAGCTTCCTCGGGGGTTCCTCGCCCCGCCCCGTTCACTGGCAATTCCACACAGCGTTTCGTCGCCGTTTCTCTTGCACCTACGGAACACCGCCCACGAGTGCGAGAAAGACAGAGGCAGAGGAGTCGGGCTGGCGGGATCGCCCGGTGGGTAGGCCATTCTTTTGAGGCACACCAAGTCTCTCTGCTTCCGAGGCGAGCCCCGTCGTGCCTCTCTCTCCAAGTGCGTGACGCACTGTGTGGAGCGCCTTGCGGGAGGCGGGTAGGCAAGCCCGCCGAGAGCGCGCGTGTCGCGGGCTAGCCTATCCAGGTATGAGCAGGGGCTCCCTCGCGCACGCGTGTATTTACTTTGCCTTTCACGCTCGCGACATTCTGAGCACACGCTCACACACTCGTCCGCGCCCCCGCTGCGTGTACGCGGCGCGCGCACTGACATACACTCGCACACAGGGCTGTCATTTTGCTTCGCACTTTACTGGTCTGGTTTGGTGTTTGGTGGCCAGGGGGCACAGTTCACATCCCACACACACACACACACGTCCGTGGAGAGAGCGTTTAGCGGACCGCCTAGTCTCTGTGCCTTGGCCCGCGCGTTTGCGCCCTGCCTGCCCCGCCAGGCCCTGCCCTGCCATGTTGCACGGTACACTGGCCCCGGCCCCGGCGCCGTGTTTGCAATGGCTCAGCCATGCCATAACTTGGGCGAAGCTCTTTGTAAACACAATACTGCTGAAAAGGGGCGGGGAGGACGGAGCACGGGGCAAAGGTGTGTGGACGGGCGACATTTCACTGATATGGCCCATCCATCCAGCGACATCCACCGGCAGCGAGCGACAGCGCCACAGCGCCAGAGCCAGAACAGCGACAAAAGATTCTGTAGGGCTTCCCTCTCGCAGACCGTCGCAGACTTTGGTGCTGTCCTTTATGCCCTACTCTGTGTAGGATGGCCTTGCGATGCTTCCTTCGACGGCAATTTGTCGGGTCACGGGGCACTCCAGAGAAGAGAGAGGAGGATGGAGGGCAAGCGGCACGGGGCACGCACAGGCTGAGACATGGGCAGGCACGCAGACACGCAGCCGGGGCCCTCCAAAGCCTCCCAGGAGAACTGATTTCGAAAGTGCTTTCGTCGCCGTCTCTCTCGCACCCGCACCCTGCGCGTCACGAGTGCGAGAGAGACGCTCGGTGCCAACGAACTGCTGTCCCAAATCCCCCAAATGCGACAACTTTTCATTTTCAAAGAACCGTAATCACCGTAATCAGAGCCGCGCGCTCTGAACCCGAGAAGTCGTTTCGGAATCAGGCAAACGCTAGCCTGGGTGCGCCTTAAGCAACATGACATGTCCATTTTTTAGTGAGTCGCCCAGCCGAAAATCCCGGTTACGGTTCCGAGTACGGTTACGACCGGGATAGGATTCCGACCGGGATACGATTCCGGCCGGAATACGATTACGACCGTAATTTCGGACATTTCCGGTTACGACTACGATCGTAACCAGGAAGGGTTTACGACCGTAACTGACCATTCCGGTCGGAGTACAAAGTGTCACAAGACATCAAGTTTGTCTTCTGTGGTGCTCCATCAAGCAGAGATCCGCGTTATATATGCATGACCACAGGGTAAACTTTGCGAGCTACGCCCAATTTTGACTTCAGAAATTTATTATAAGTTACCGTTCACAAGTTATGGAGTGTTTCTGAAAATTCGCTGGAGACTTAAACGCATGGGACATGCTTCTTCGAGTCCGGCCTCGGACCCGGATCTGGTCCGATCGTAACCGGAATGGGTCCGGTCGTAACCGGAACGAGTCCGATCGTAACCGGAACAAGTCCGATCGTAACCGGGACGTGACCGACCGTAACCGTAAATTAGGTCCGGTTTCCGATCGCAACCGGAAAATTTGGGGCGATTTACGATCGTAAGCGGAGATTTTCTCCGGAACCGTAACCGGGATTTTCGGCTGGGCGCGGTGAGTGAAATTCGGCCGCCGACCGACGCATCCAACTTCGGCTAGGGTTGAACGCCGAGGGAGCCCTCCGTCCCTCTGCCTGCCGCCTCCCTCCGCCGCTCCGCCTGCACCGGCTGCCTCGCTCGCTGCTGCCTGTTTCCGGTTGCCAGTCAGTGCCAAGTTTGCCGGGGAGGGGAAGAGGCGCGTGGCCCGGCGTAGCCCGGCGTAGCCCGCGTGGCGCAAAGTCTTCATTTGCCTCGGACATTTGGCGGAGCGGCGGGGCCCTGGGCGGGGCGGCCTCTGAGACAGGCCGCGCTGGAGGCCGCTGGAGGCTCCAGCCTGGAGCTGGTCTGGACGCCAGTCACGCGCAGCCCCGCGTCGCGCACCAACAACATGTAACTCGCTTATTGAAAGGCACCGGACAGCACGGGGCGGGGCGGGGCGGGGCGGGGCGGGGCGGGGCGGGGCGGGCGGGGGCCGTTCGGGCCGAGGCCGTCGCCGTGCCGTCGTTCACAGTTCAGCCTCCGGGCCTCGTGTATGCCGAGGCCGGCCGAGGCCATGCCGAGCCCCGGCGTCGTTAGCGCGACACCCGACACGCCCCGGCGGCTGCGACAAGCGGGACAAGCGGGACCGCCAACTCATTCCCGGGAAATTACCTCTCACGTCTTGCGATTTCATCATCTCATGACTCCATGGCGCCCGTCTCGAAGGGCGCCGAGCGCCGACGGCGCCGTCCAATACGACGATTAGTTCCGCTACTTGTCCTCGTCGCCGACGACGCCGGGTTTGGAGCCTGCCGCTTGAAAACATGCCGCCGAGATGCTGGGATTTCGTTCGCTCCTCTACATCCCCACAACGAGCACGTGTGTGACGGGGAGGACATGCATCACTCAATTAGGGTTGTCATGCGAGTCCCTGACTTCTTACCCCTCGCTGCCGTCACGTGCCGTCACGCCGAACAGGAAAACAGCCAACATGTCTTCATACACCATTCACACTGCAAGCTAAATTAAGTCTCTTTAATTTTACCTCTTTTATTAAATTTAAGCTGCAAAAAACGACAGGGGCTTGCTTAATTAATTTTTAGGCGTAGGAATTGAGGTGGGCTGCGGTGCGGGGGGGAAGGCTGGGACACTCGGCAGTGTGGTGACGCGTTGGGGGCGGAGGGACCGGGGCGGCCAGGGCGGCTTGATGTGCCGGGCCACATTGATAAGACCGGGACCTGGATTAGGGCGGCGATGACGACAATGACGTCACAACGGTGCGGCCCAATGACATGGCGGGGATGGCGCGCCGAGCACCGAAAAAAGGGGGGGGGGGTAAGTTCCTAGCCGCGCAGTGAGGCGCTGGGGTCGCGACAGAGACAGAGCGACGAGACAACTGTTCGGAATCAGTTTGCTGTAACCATAGCCTGGCGGGTAGGCAGCCCCACCGAGCCGAACGCACCTGTCCCACCCTGGTCCGCGGGGCGTAAAAGTTACGAGTGTGGCGGGCCTGGCGGCGTGTCTGCACTGGAGGTGAGACGCTGCCAACGCCTCGACGTGCCGTCGGGACGCGTGGCGCGTAGGTACGCGTGCAGGTGGCGTGCGGTTGGTAACACTGCGCCGTTAGGCCCAAGGTGCCTACGCGGCGCCCCGTCGTCGCCCTGCCATGCCACCGTTCCGGCCGCTTTTATGAATCCTTGTCGATTCCTGCGAGAACGCCTCTGGAGCGTTGCTGAGCTGGCGTGCCTGGAGGAGCCTGGAAGGCGCTGGAAGGGCCTGGAGGACGCAGCCCGGACGTCGGCTTTGCGCGACTGTACTCGCGCTAGTTGCGAATAACGCGCTTTTGTTGTTATTTGCACCGCGGCGGCGCGGTGGCTACATGCAGGCCGCGCGGCCGTGCGCTGCTGGGAGGGGCAGGCGCTTGCACATTGCTGGCACGTCCGCACCAATCGAATCACGGCTAATTTATATCCTGATGGAGATTAGGGGGTTGTCATCGTTGTGGTCGTGCGCGCGGGCCGAGGCACACGCGCGCACAGACACACACACACACACACAAACACGCACACAGACACAGGTCGAAATAAAGGGCCCATCCTAAAAAGCGCTCAATTACACGCCAGAGAGACACTATGCGGCAATCCGCTGTGGATTGATTGCTGTTGGCCAGCCTGGCCGGCCTGGCCGGGGGAGTGGCCGCCCTGTTTGGAGCCCAATAAACCCCTTTGGTTATGTTAGGCATTAAGTAACGCCTTCTGTCTCTCTCGCGCTCGTCGCCAGTCCATATGGAGCAACAAGGACAGGAGGCATGGCAGGCGTTCTGTGGGACGTGGACGAACAGTGTGAAGAAAGTATAGCACCACGAAATTTGATAACAAAAAGCGGAGTTAGGAATAGCAGCAGGATGCGGAGAGTCATTGTCGTCGTTGTGTCTCTCTCTCACCCATACAGGAAAACGCATGAGTGCGAGAGAGACGAGCGGACTCTCGGAATCAGTCTGCAGACATGCAGGCAATCATTGCCCTGCACCATTCACAAGGCGCAGTTTGCCGAGCACCCCGGCCGCCCCCACACGGCGACTGAGAGTGCATCTGCAATGCTCCGAGGGCCGGGGGCGGCAGGGGGTGGGTGCGGCTGGCCCGGGGCTGGCCCGGGGCTGGCCGCAGGCAGGGTGCAGGTGGGGGAGCGGGCCGGCAGGGGGCGCGGAGAGCTAATGGACCAGTAATGGATGGGTCAGGGCCTCGTCCCCGCGGCGCAGGCCGTGGTGGAGGCCGCGGTGGGGCCGAGGCCGAGGCAGGGCCCGGACAGGGACAGCACACCCGAAGGCCCGAGGGGAGCGGGGTGGCGGGGGCGGCGGGGGCCGCCAAACGGCAAACGGCAAACTTGCACGGCGACGCGGCGCCGCGGCCTGCAGTGCCTGCGCCCTATCGATTTCGTGTTGCATTTGTATAAACTTGTGCAGCGCGAGTTGGGGCTCTCGGGGAGGGGCTCTCAGGGAGGGGCTCTCGGGAGGGGCGGCGCGTTGACGCCAAACTTTGTGTGTGGGGGAGGGGGGGGAGCGACTTGCCGACCCAGGCAGCCCGACCGCGGCGGAGTATCAAGAAGCCATCTCGGGCACCCAGCGCGCAGCGCGGTGGAGCGGCCCTTACAGTGCAGGACCCAGCCCACGCCGTCCCCGTCATCCTGGTCCTGTTCCTCCCCGCGTTCAACCCCCGCGACCCGTACGTTCGACCGCCACTCCACGCCGCTCCACGCCGCTCCACGCACTCGCGCCGTTTTTGTGTCGCGTGCCGCGCCTCGCCGCGCCTTGCCGAGGCCATGCTTTACGACACCAGTTTATTATACGGCCCTTAATTAAAGTCAAGAAGAAAGAACAAATGTCCGCGTGGCCGTCCGGCCGTCTGGCGTCGCGGCCGCGCGTTCCGGAGTAGTGCGCCAAGTGGAGTAGTTACAGGCGTGTACTGCAGTGTGGGTCTTTGTCGTGGCGGGGCGGGGCGGGGCCTCGTTCCACTCTCGTCCGTCACGAGATAACCCCTTTACGGCTGCGTACGCTTATCTGTCTGCTGCTGTTTCAAAAAACGCCCGTTTCCCGCTCGGTGTGTTTCGAGTCCTTGTCAGCGGCCCCCCCTGCGTCCGCCGTCCAGGCCGCGCCGTCGTCGCGCGCTTCGCGACTTGCTCTTTGGAAATGGACAGTGACGCAAGAAAAAGCCGGGGCCGAAAACGGGGACCCGCGGCGGGCCGCGAGACCAGCGGCAGCGGGAACCTTCGGTTAGGTTGGGTTTGGCGCTGCGGTTAAAGTCGCCCGCGGTGCTTTTTACCAGGGGGTGACTGGCACCTCACACCTGCCCGGAACTGTACCACTGCCCTGCGAGAATTAGGCTCAGCCTGCGGCGGCCCGTCCAACCCGTCCCCGGCCGCCCCTCTGCTGTTTTAGTGCGACCATAAACCGCGCCAGGGTGGCGGGGCGCGGCGGGGCGCGGCGGGGCGCGGCGGGGCGCGGCGGCGGAGACAGAGGCGTTCTTGACGACTCCGCCCCAGTAACCCTCTGTGCCATTCCCGGACCGAACAGCCGCGTCGCGAGGCTGTCGCTCAAGGCGTTGGTTTGACGCGGCGAAACTACTGCCCGGCGAGTGGGGCCGCACCCCACCCCGCCCCGCCGCGCCCCGCGGCGCCTCGAAATGGTGGGGCGTTCCGGGACGGCTTGGGTCAGGACGGCGACAGTCTGGGCGGCGAGAGCACGGCGCGGAATGAACCGCACCCAGGGCCCAGGGCCAGTGGCGTAGCCGCAGAAGAGCATTCCCTTTTTGTGGGGGTACACTCAGTGTGCGGCGGAGGCCTCTTTTGCACTTTTTGCCTACTTTGGCGGGCTGCGGGCCTCATCATGGAGAACGACCTCTATTTGACAGAGGGGCTTGCCTAGTCCTGCGTTCCTGTGTGTGTGTGTGTGTGTGTGCGTGTGGGCGTAGCCCACACCCATGCACGAGACTACCCGCAAAGTACCAGCATGGCCACGCAGCAGAGCGATCCGAAGCGTGCTTTGCCCCCCTCTTCGTCTCTCTTCCACCTCTATGGGAGACTCCCCTGAGTGCGAGAGAGACAAGCCGGTGGGCCGACCGGACAGCGGCTGCTAGTCGCGGCACCAGGGTGGCAGCGCGGGGCGGGGCGGGGCGGGGCTACCGATACGTCGCCCAAATTAGCATAACTCTCGCCAGGCCGGCGCGCCCCTGCTCCTTTACGAGGCGGTCGGAATGGGGCCGGATGACGAGCCGCGGGGCGGGGCGGGGTCGTTGTGGGTGGATATTAAAAACGTTATGGTTGAAAGTGGAAATGAGTATTCCCGAGTCGGCCCCGCTGCTCCGCCCGGCCCGGCAAGGCCCGGCCCGAGTAATCTCGGCATTAAAATCAAACAGCCGCCAGCCGGAAACGGAGTGGCCTTGCAGTGTTTGTGTTCTCCCACGGTGGCGGTGGCGGGGTGCTCCGCTCCGCCCCGCCTGGCCCCGCCCCGCCCCGCCGCACCCCGCCGCGCAAGGATAATTTCAAGAGCCGAGCCGCGAGTTCCGGCTCTCGTTACTTTACTTGAAAACGGCGAATGGAGATGTGTTGGGCGGGGAGAGGGAGGTCGCTGCACTGCTAGCGCCATGGCTAGCGCCCCAGCCGCCCCGGCGCTGGAGGTGGAGTTCCGCAGAATTAAAACCGCCGTCGTGCCGTCGCGGTTCCGCGGCTTGAAGAAACACCGCGAGTAGACGCAGCCGAGCGCATCCGAAGCGTCGTCATCTCGTCGCTCTGTCTCTGTCGCACTCGCAGGGCTGGAGGTGTGAGAGAGACAGACGATTCTTCGGGATCGTGCCGCCGAGCGCTTGTCCGGGCAGACAGCGGCCTTGTGGTAATTGCTGTGAGCCACACCTGCGCGGCGGCGCTGGCGGGGCTGGCGGCGCACGCACTCATTGGGGCCTAAGTGCGGATCCCTGTCGGGTCGCCCCGCCCCGCCCCGCCGAGCCGGCGGTGCTCAAACAAAGAGTTCCGCGATCAGAGCGGCGCAAGCCCAAACTTCTGGCGAGACGCGGCGCCGGAGCCGCCATGCCCCCCCCCCTCCATTTCTCCCGTCTCCCCTCCGCGAGTAGTAAACTCCCCGTCCTCTTAGGGGCCTGGCCTGGCGGTGTGGTGGCGGCAAGACGATGATAGTTTTCCACCAAAGTTGCAACAATGCTCAAATGAAGTCTTGATGCGAGGCGCCAGGCGCCCCCTCTTGTCCTCGACACAAGGGCTCTTGCTGTGCCGCCGCACCCAATGGGTGACCTCGCCGCGCCCGCTAAGTTGCGAGCGACGCGGGCGACGCGGGCAACGCGCCCGTCGACGGCAAGACCGCCGGCTAGACAGTCGCGCCAGTTTACGAATATTCAAATGCATTTGAAACGGCTTGACGCGGGGCTGCCGCGTCGTCGCGTCGCTGTGCTTTGGCGCTTTGGCTCCGTCCCCGCGACTCGAGCCGCGAGCCGCGAGGCGAGAACTCGGCGGAGTGCGGGTCGGGGTCGGGGAAAGTCGGCGCGAACATGCTCCACCTCCTTTGACCCTGAGTGGAGCGAGTCTCGCGTATGATTTTCTAGGCGTTAACACACTCTGCTCTGCGGCGTTAGCTGGCGTTGGCGCGGCGTGTGCGGCGGGAGAAACCAGCTGAGCGACTCGCCAATTTGGACGTTCGTACTCGGCGTTCAGCAACTTTGGCCAAACTCGGGGTGCGCGCACATGTGCGCGTGGCCCCGCGTGGCCCAATCCCTCGGGGCCTCCGCGATGGTGTTCTTACTGTTCTACCGAAGTTACGGCGTTTTGACTTTGCGTGTTGTATGCACCGCTCGGTGTTGGGGAAGGGAAGGAAGAAAGAGAAGTGCGCTCAAATAATCATCCATGTACATATATTTTTTATCACAATTTGTATATTACATTGGGGATCACACTTTGGTGAACAAGAGTATGGAATTCGAGAACCATTCCAAACGAAGAAAACGAAAGAAGTGTCCGGGTACAAATGATCGCTTTTAAGTACACAAAAGTATGAGTCATCTTCCAGATTCTCCCACTCCCGAGACAAAAGAAAACAGCACAGGACACTGACAGGAACTCAACACGCGCCGCTGCCCGTTAGAAGCCTCGCACGTTTCTCCCGGTAATGGCGAGAAAATGCATTAACTTTGTTCCGAGAGTGCGACTCGATCCAACTACCAACAACGTGCACAGCGGCAGCGGCGGCACTTTGCTAGGGGCCTGGGGGTGGGTGCGTCCACACCGCCTTCCTTCCGACTCGTATAAAAATATAATCCACACTGTAAGCACGTCTGTTGGGGAATGTTTTGACCGTGTTCCACGGGAGAGCAAAATCTCTCAGATGGCAAAGACATTCGGCCCTCGGTTTTCTGTTTTCGAATTGGACTCTGGCCGTGCACGCTGCAAGCGCTGCAGGGGGCGGGAGGGACTGGCCGGGCCAGTGCGCTGCGCGGCGCGGCGGGTCTATCTGCCGCAGCACGATCAGTCAAAGGCAAACCAGCAAACTAAACGCAATCGGAGAACAAAGGGCCCTTCGGAGTCGCCCGCGCAAAAACTAAACCCGCGGCCGAGTTCGAAACTAGCTACACATGTGAGACCAAACACCTCGTTTGTTTCAGCAGTAATTAATTATTGAACCAAAGGGCTTTGCCGCGCTCTCTGAGAATTCCGTGAATTTACTGAGGATTTGATCTACTTTTGTACAGGAATTGTTGACCGTTTTGGTGTCGGGATAGACTTTGTTACACCCATAGAATGAGACAAAATAGTGATAACTAATTTTGTGTTTCTATCCAGGAATCTGGGAATTCTCTCTATTGACTTTGGGTAGACTCCTGGGGAGCTCAAATTGGGGGACAAAATAGCGGCTAGAAAGTGGCCGGTAATGGAACTACTCTCACAGTCAGGTGAAATAAATAAATAGCAAACTACATAAAAATAAAATAGTTTAAAGCTGGAGGCATTTGTTACCATTTTTAAGAGATCAAATGGCCAGCACTGTTGCCTACACAACGTAGGGCAAAGATCTTTCAGTCAATAGAAAACAAAAACTCTCTCCGTCACATCATAAAAAAAAGCCTTTAACTTAAAAAGAAAACAACACAGAAACAAACAAGAATATGGCACCCATTGAAGGATATTCATTCAACATAGAGATTCAATATCAGTGAACAATAACTAACAAGAGATAATAAACGGGATAATACGAAGAAGAAAACACTTTGGTACCGATTCACTCTTCACAACAAAAAGGCGGTCACTTTGAGCAGCGCAATGTTGGCAGACCCTCATCCAGTGCGAGTCTGCGACGTCTGCGAGTCACGCACTGGGGGACGGAAGGTCCTTCACCGTCTCTCTCGTGCACCACAGCGAAACCTAACAAAACACCCTGGCGTCCATCATGCGTCCATGCTGGGGCCTCGTCTCACCACGTCCCGACCCTGCACTCTCAAAAATAAACGTCCCGATCGAAGGAGAGGCAACATGATGCGCCTCATTGTCTCTCGAGAAGAGCTTCGACAGAGGGACTCCTCCTCCACCTGGCTGCGGCCAGCCTCGCCCTCGAGTCCCTGGCGCTACACTGGCGGGGGCGCTAACCACTGGCCACGCCAACAGCGTCAACAGCGTCAACAGCCGCAGAGGCGTCACTAGCACGTCACTGGGGCGACCACACGTTGTCGTGCAGCTCGGGGCTGCTCGGCGACTCCTGGCTGAGGTGCTGCTGGTGCCGGCGGCCGAGCCGCTTGGCGCCCGGCCGCTTCTCCCGGGGGCTGTGGTGGCCGCGGGGGCTGGCCGAGATGTCCGCCACCACGGCCGAGTCGGGGGTCACGTCGTCCTCGGACGCGTCGTACAGCAGCACCTGCTGCTGGCAGGGCTTGGCGCGGTGCCGGTGGTGGTTGTTGAGGTGGCCGTGGTGGTGCTGCTGCGGCTGCGTCCGCACGGCCATGGGGGCGCCCTCGTCGTAGGAGGACCGGTTGGAGCTGAGGCGGTCGCAGTCGGAGAGGTCGCTGGGGCTGGCGGGGGAGAGGGAGTCCGCGGGCGCGGAGGGCGCGGAGGGCGGGGCGCCGTTGGCGTGGCGCGCTGCTTTCCGGTGGTGGTGCACGGCCCGGGGGTCGTCGCGGTCCGAGCGGTCCGAGCCTCCACCGCGGTCCCGCCGCCGGTGCCGCTTGTTGTTGGCGGTCAGCTCCGCGGCCGGCGCGCCCACCAGCATGGGGACGTCGTAGTTGTCGGCGCTCTCCGAGCTGCCCGTGCTCGCGTACTGCTTGAACACGGTGAAGTCGTCGGCCAGCCCGTCCAGGTCGATGCGCTGGTCGACGCGCTGGTCGACGCGCTGGTCGTAGTCGTACTCGTCGTCCTGCGGGCAGTTGCTGTACACCTCCTGCTGGTGGCGCGCGTGCCGCGGCTTGCGCGTGCGGCCCGTGGTGCGCGTGCCGCGCCGCAGCGTGTCCCGGCCGACGCCCACGTCGCCGTCGTAGAGCTGGCCGCCGGGGCCCAGGGTGTGGTGGCCCGGGCCGGGGGCCGCCGCGCGCCGGGACGCCTTGGAGTAGGGCAGCAGCGTGCCCGCCTTGCTGACGCCGCCCGCGCTGCCGGTCGACGCCCGCGACGCGCGCTTCGGCATGGTGGGCACGCTGCAGAAGTCGTCCCCGGAGCTGTTGAGCGGCGGCGCCGAGTGCAGGTTGGCCAGCGGGAACGAGTCGTCGTAGAGCTGCAACAAGGAGGACGCTTAGAATCCGGCGGAGGTGGTCGCGGCGCTCTGTGCCCAGCACGCCTATCACGCTGGCACACGGTGAAGCGAATTGAATTCCTTCCCCCCGTGCCGTGCCTCGCGATATTGTGTGTGCCGTGCCCCTGTGTACCCCGCGGCGCGCATACAGGCCCCTGTGTGGCCCGGCCGACGCGGCCCGATGAGCCGGCAGCAGCGAGTCTGTTCCGTTTCGATATTTCCTCGTTTCCGATATAACTTCCTCCCCCTCGAAACACTGGCGCGCCCCGTTGCCGCCATATCTTGGCCGTGAAAAGCAGGAACACAACACGCCGCGGGTGGCGACGGGAAAGCGCTCGGGAAAGCGCGCACGTGTCGACGGGGAAGGGAAAGCCGATGAATGGAATGCCGAGGCGCGCGGCGCGGCGTGGCGCTCGCGGTGTGCCTACTTATTGGCCTCGCAGGACCCGTCCGGGATCGCCGGGACGACGCGACCGGGATCACAGCCAGAAGCGGCTGTCAGAGCGCACCAGGCGGTCCCACTGCGGCGTGCTGAGCGGCGTGCCGTAGCTCGCGTAGCTGCCGTAGCCCAGGCCGTAACAAGGACCTGCGTCGCCTCGCCGGGGGCAGAGCGCGCCGGCCAGCCAGCTCGGCGAGCAGGGCTACAACAAAACAGCGGCCTGGTCACCGTCGCGTCGCCTCGCTCCACTCGACGGCCACCTATTTGGAAATTGGCGGTAATCGAGTTGCGAGGCTGTGTGCGCGTGCAGTGTGCACGACGTGGGGGCGAAGCAGCGAAGCCGGTAATCCAGCGTGACGAGTTTGGACGGCGCGTCGGCGTGTGACACCGCGTGACAGTAACGTGACAAGCGAGTGTCAAATTCAGGCCCGGCCGCCACGCGGCACGGCGTGGTGCACGCCCCCGCCCGTCACGCCGCCCGTCACGCGTCACGGAATGACAACCAGCAGCCGGGGCATGGCGGGCATGGCGGGGGGGTCTCCTGCACGTGAGGAGCTGCAACAGTGCATGTGTGTGTGTGTGTGTGCCTGACGCCACGGTGACTGGCGGGCCGAAAGAATAAATTGCATGTGATGTTTGCCGTGCATGGGCTTTGTCGAGGCGCAAGCTCCACTGTGACGACGTGCTCGAGGAAAAAGAAGGAGAACCACTACGCACGCGTGCCGGTGGCGACGAGGTGCAATCTGGAAAACAATCCACTGCTGCATTGGAGACCCACCTTGTTGCCGGTGTGCTGCGTGTAGTTGAGGATGGCGTGGTTGGACGCACACACGGCGGGGTAGGTGTTGTCCTCGGAGGTCTTGTTCTCCTCGCTGCCGGTGGACGGGCAGTCGAACAGGAAGCGGCGGCCGGTGCACGAGACGAGCGACAGCGCACCCGGCGTGCCGCGCGAGCTCCGGGACGCCGTGGAGCGCTCGTCCGAGCTGCGCGACGGGCCGCGGGTGGCGCACCAGAGCAGCAGGAAGCCGACCAGCAGCGACCCGACGTGCTCGGCCAGGCGCATGTACCACCAGGGCGGCAGGCGCCAGTCCCTGCGCGCCCGGAGGGGAAGGGAACACAAAGTTTTAATGTAAACCCGATTGGCGATGTAAAGTCATGCAAAGCGAATGAAAAACGGGAAACAGCCAGAAAGTAAAAAGTCTTCTTACGTGTTGCCGCCCATGAGGGTGGTGTCCATGAGGCGGTACGACGCCATGGTGGCGAGCGCCACCAGCAGCAGCGCGCACACGAGCAGGGCGTTGACGACGCGCGGCAGGGCGGGCGTGGGCAGGCGCCGGAACGCCGTGTACGCGGCGCGCAGCTGCTCGGCCTGCTTCTTGGCGGCGGCGCGGCGCAGCGGCCGGTACACCACCATGTAGGCCAGGCCCAGCAGCGCGGCCACCGTCACCGTCAGCCCCCGCGCCCCCGCGCGCAGGCCGTTGCCGCCCGCGCCGTCGCCGTCCGGGACGGCCGCCACGGCGCACGACGCCACCTCCAGGGACATGGTGGTGGCCAGGAACAGGAACAGCAGCACCAGGAAGGCCGGCGTCTGCGGCACGCCCGAGTTGCCGCAGGGAATGTGGTTCACCTGGAAGGGCAGAGGCGTTCGTTAGCGACCGGCACTCTGAATGTTTCGGCGTCGCACAGCCGAGGGACCGGACTCACCCTGAGCACCACGAAGAAGAAGACGCTGAACGCGGCGGGCAGGAACGGCAGCGTCAGGTCGGCCAGCAGCTGCGGCACCCTGGTGGCGGCGGCCGCCTCACTCTCCGAGGTGCCCGACGACGGCTCCGACGCGGACGCCGGCGCGCCCGCCGCGCCCTCACGCGGCCGGTGCTGCTGCTGCTGCAGCTGGTCGTGGTTGATGACGTCGTAGAAGAGGGACACCGAGTTGGCGGCGGCCAGCGCCAGCAGCAGCGCCAGCAGCATGGTGAAGTGGACGCGCGGCACGAGGCGGGTGCGCGAGTCCACGAACACGGCGGCGACGAGGCACAGCGCGGCCAGCACGCCCCACATGGTGCCCAGGCCGTACACCTGCGCCGTCCACGCCAGGTGCCACTCGCCGCCCGCGCCCATGCCCGCCACGGGGCCGCCGCCCGCCATGCCGCCCGGCCGCACCACGGACGACGGCGGCGACGTGGCCGGCACCATCAGCACCTGCAACCAGAGCAACACGTGTCGGAGCGCGTCTTGGAGGACTGGGGAAGCAGGACGCCCCCACGACGAGCACGCAATGACCCCTTTTATTTCGTAGGGCGTTGTGGGTAGTGTCGCGAGATACACACGGGGCGCCGCCGTGCCGGTGGTGGCGGTGCAGTCCCAAGGACAGTCCGACCGGCCTCGACAAACAGACAAACAGACCGCAGCCATTCTCCCCACACCGAATGCTCGGTGGGGCGGCAGTGCGGCACACTGGCGGCGGCAAACACCCGCCGCCGGATTGAGGAAAATAATTAAGTTGGAGTAGTTGAGTGGCTGGCGGGCGCTGCCGGGCGACATTCGCGAAGCCCCCCATCTAGAGCATTGAGCAAAGAGACTCTCTCTCTCCCTCTCCCACCCGCACCTGCCGCCTCCCCGCGCCTAGAATAGACCATCTCGGCGCGTCCATCAGGGCCTTTCTCTCTGACATATTCGCTGCCACGCCGGCCGAGCCGGGCCGAGCCCTCCACTGCAAATTGCCTCGATTCCTCCGGCATTCACTCGGCCTTTCTTCGCGGCCAGGCCGGGCAAGGCAAGACTAGTTCCCTGCCTGCTCGGCTTTGTCCACGCCGACGCGCGCGCGCCCCGCCCCGCCCCGGCCCCTCTGGCCCCCCTGGCGCGGCCTGCGCCATTTGGCACCCCCTCCCCTTGCAGCCCAGCAGCCCTGCCCCGTTCGTTCCCGTGCTCCGCCTTCCAGAATAATTATTCTTTTCCTCTCTCTCCCTGCGGTCTCCAGCGCGCGGCGCGCGGCGGGCTCCAGCGGCGGGCTCCAGCGTCGGGCTCATGCCAGCCTGGAAGAACACTTCCGCCGTGGTCTCCATTGTGGCGCTGGGCTCGGCGGGCTCGGTGGGCAAGAAGGGCTGGAGGGCCAGAGGGGAGGGGGCGGCGGGGCGGCTAGCTAGGCCCGCGCTATCCTCTCGAATTACGACCTGGCGACTCAGGATGTGCGAACCTCTCTCGTCCATCCCCAAGGCCCCCCCCCCTCCCCCCCTCCGTACCTTTTCCACCCCAAACGCACTCCCGGCCCACTGGCCCCGTGCTAAAGGCCGGCCAGCCCCGCCAGCGCCGCCGCGACGGTCTTATACCCTCTTCCGAGAAGCAGCAGCGCAAGCAATGCATAAATAAAAAATAATTGTCTCCGGGCGCGACGCGCATTCCGAAACGTAAACTTGTCTCAGCAACGCCCCGCCCCGCCCGGCCTGCCGCCCGGCCGCCACGCCGAGCCGAGATAAGACGTGACTTAGCGGTCCCCGCGACCTTGTGTGGCCGCCTGCAGCCCGCCCCGCCCCGCCCTTGTCCCGGTGGCCGGGCTTACATTGTTGTGTGGGGAGAGCAATGGCAATAGGGGTAAGTCCACCCCGTCCCCTCCCCACCGCCTCTATCCTGCCCGGACCTGGCTGCCTCTGCCGTGGCCGCGCTCGGCCCGGCGTCTCGGGGGAGTGCCTCTTAACCCCGCAAACCTCAAGCGACGCCGGGCGACGCCGAAGCGACGCCGAGAGCACCGGTCTGGGCCGCTGGCTCGCCTCTCCTGGGGCCCGCCCGGCTCCGGCCCGCCCCCCGCGCCGCTCTGGCACAGGTAAAGCCTACGGAGCTGCAAGACAGCCGAGAAAAATGGGCCCTCCGAGAGGCGAGCCAGGCAAGCCCAGACCCCAAGCCCAGACCGCAGTGGTAGAAAGGGGAGCTTCTTTTGTAGCGCGCTGATCGAGCGGGGGAGAGAGGGACAGGCCCTCAAAGGTGGCGGCGGACTTTACCTTGGCGGTCATCAAGGAGCTCGCCGAGTGCAGCGGGGCGGCCGGGGCGGGCGGGTCGCCCAGAGTGCGGCGTAATGAGGCGGACTGAATGGGCAGCATGAAAAGGGACTTGGGCGGGACTAGGCACACTCCACCCACCTCCTTCATGTTGTCCTCGTCGCGGTGGATGGCCGGGTCCGCCACGACGGCCACCTCGGCCTGGTGCACGTCGATGATGGAGTCCTTGTTGACCTGCTCCAGCAGTTCGGTGGGCTTGGCGGCCTTGAGCGAGTGGTCCCCGTTGTGGCCGGCGCCGTGGCCGTGTCCGTGGCCGTGTCCGTGACCCTGCCCGAGGCCGCCCTGGTGGTGGCCGATGGGGGTCAGGGCGGGCGCGGGCGCGGGCCCCGAGGCCACGGTGTGGATGTGACCGTCCAGGTGGTGCTTGCCGGCCGACCCGGGCCGCTCGGGGGGCCGCTCGGGGCGCGGTGCTTCCGGGATGGCGGGCAGCGCGTCGGAGCCCTTGCCGCCGCCCTGGCTCGGGGTGTTGACGGGCCGCAGGGGGATCAGCTCGTCCATCGGAGGCCTGCGCAGAAAGCACAAAATGAGCGAAATCTGTCGGAGGACGGAAATGGGCAAGCAGGGAGTGACTGAAGACCTACCTTGGCGGCAGCAATTGAGGGTGGGGTTTGCGACCCGGGCCCGCACTGCCCACTTCGGACTGGCTGCCCCGGAGGATGGCCTTGTTGGCGAACGGGTTGTACTCGGCCGGCAGCGGCGGCGGCCGGTTCGGCGGCGCGTAGTCGGGGTGCGGGTGCGGCGCCCTCCGCGTCGGCGTGGCCCCGCCGCCCCCCGCGCCTGCTGGAGGCGGGGGCGGCGGCAGCGGGACCAGCTCCGTGGGCAGCGGGGGCAGCGTGGGCAGGCGCATGGTGGTGGGCGGCGCGCGGGTCGTGGTGGGCGCGGGCGTGGTGGTGGGTGCCATCGGGGGCGGCTTCGTCGTCATCGGCGTCGCCGTCGTGCCCTTGGCCACCTTTAGTGAATTGAAAAAATAGAAGGTCCATTGAAATAAGACAAAACAAAAAGCAGAGATGGTTATCAGTGGGGCATCCCCCATAATCCGGGCTGGGCGTCGGTCCGTCGGTCCATCACGCTAAATCCACAAAGATGATGAGGGCACGGCCGGCATGGTGACGCTAAGCCCGCGGCCATAAATGCAAATGAAGGCCGTCCGGGTGGCGCTTCGCCGCTTGGGCCGCTCGGGATGCCCCCTGCGGCCTGCCGGCCTGCCGGCCTGCCGGGCAGCCAGTGGCTGGGCGGCCCACCCCGGGCCGCAGGCCTCGGCCGCCTCGGCCGGACTGGCAGTCTACGTAGTCTCGGCCGGTCTGAGGCCGGCGGCGCCAATTAGCAGAGGCCGTCCGCTGCAGGCCTCGGCGCCTCGGCTTCAGCAGGTCAGCAGGTGCTCCACGCGCTCCACTCACCTTATTGAAGACGGCGGCCAGCACGCTCTCGTAGCCGCCGCGCCCGTAGCCGCTGGGGCCGAGTCCGAGGCCGAAGCCCACATCCTTGACGGCGGGCCTGGGGGCGGCGGTGGCGGCGGTGGTCGAGTTGCCGTGCGGCGCCCCGGCGGCCAGACCGCCCCCGGGAGGCGGCACCCCCGCCGTCATGGTGGCCCCCAGGCCCGACCCCGAGCTGGGCCCCACCCCCGCCGCCAGCGTCAAGAACAGCGTCAGCAAGGACAGTCGCTGCGCCAGGGGAGGCAGCCGCGGCCGCAGCAGCAGGGGTGGCCGCGACATGGCTCAGGCTCCGTCCCGCCGTCGGTCCCGCCGGCCGGAGCAGGGCGAGCAGGGCGAGCAGGGCCCTGCAACACATACACATAAAGAAGTACAGTCCATACAAATTCAGGTGGAGCGCGGCGAGGCGAACAGACCCGAGTGGTCGGGGTGCACTTTTCCCCGTTATTGCACACGACGCGGTGCGCGGCGCGGCGGTTCGGCCAGGACAAACGGCTCGGCGCCGCACAGCCCCGCGCACCGCCTCGGCCATTTCTACATTTCCCCAGGTGCGGCTGGCTGGCTGGCTGGCTGGCTGGCGGGGGCCATCGAGTGCCAGCGGTACAGTACCCGCCAGCCGCCGCGGCGCCCCGCCCCGTTCCCTCTGGCTCTCGGCTCCCTCGCCTCCCTCTGGATCGGCGCATAATTAAAAGCTCGTGGGATAATCTAGGTCGTGGGACCGACCGTGGCGGCGCGCGGTTCATAGCGAAACGATTCCCTGGCCGCGGGTCGACGCGGGTCGGCGGCGGGTCTGCGCCGAGCGAGGCCCCGCCCCGCCCCGCCCGCGGTAACTGCCATTCAAACGGCCACTGCCACTGCCGGCTCGGGGAAGTTGGCCTGCCCGGCCGCCCCGGACGTCCCGGACGTGGGCGGCGAGCTGGGCCCGCGTCCTTTGAACACAATGCAGTGGCGGTCGAGTCGCTAGAGTCGCCTCGGTCCCGGTCTCTCGGTGGCGCAAGTTGGCCGTGCGAGCCATTGGCTCCGTATTGACGCACTGCTCCGGACAAGCCGGGGCCGCCAGTGTGGGGCGTGGCGTGGGTGCCACACTCACACAAAGACACACAGTCAAGACGCGAGCAGCGCCGTTCGCACCAAAGAGGGTGGGTGGGTGTCGATACCAAACTAGCGCCGCCAAACGGCACGGAAAACAAGACTTTGAACACATTTTCCACTTTACTAATTTCCGTCTTGGCACAAAAACGGACGAAAAAAAAACGAGAACAGAGAAACTACCGTGCGCTGGGTGACCGCTTTCGGGCGGTATGTCACTCACACACACCCATTCACACACACACTCTCTCTTTCTATCACACATACACGTTCAATCTGTCTCTCTCTATCTCTCACTCTCTCACACACATGCCGTTGGCGCCGTATTGGCACCGCGCCACCGAGTTAGTTGCCTTATCGCCTGCATCTCGATCTATTGTTTTCTCGCAGCCGTTGCCGAGGCTGCAGCAGTGTAGGTGCTAATTGGTTCCCCCACCCCTTTTTCGCACACTGCGGGATTGAGCCGTGCGCCGTGCATGTTCGGTATCTCCATCAAGGAGGCCGGCACCGCGCGATGGACACACACACACACACACACACACAAACCGAACGCGCTGCACCTGACAAGGCAGCACTGGCACACCACACTGGTGCGATGCGGCCGATGCGGGGCAGCCCCTCCTTCATTTGCGTCAAGCAGCACAGGGGGAGGGGGTGGGGGGAGAGGGGAGTTGCAGTGGGGCTGCAACATGTCATAACAGCGCAACTACCAACTTATGCAAATTGGCAAGCGGGGCGCGGCAGGGCGAGGCAGGGCGCGGCAGGGCGAGGCAGGGCAGGAGCCTTGTACGGCCAGATAGCATCGCCCCATCTTGAACCCTCAACCTAATAGACCCCGAGTCGGGTCGACCGACGCTGGGGACGAGCAGCCGGGCGCAGCGGGCCGGGCGCATCGGCCCGATTCCGAACAGTGTGTGCTCCGTCGCTCCGTCTCTCTCGCACTCGTGGGGCGCCGCGTCCGGTGCGAGAGAGACGGAGCGGCGTTCGGCACAGAGGGGCGCTACCGGCGGTGGCGTGTTCGAGTGCCGCCCCCGCACTGCTGTTTCAAATCAGTGCCGCGCGTTTCCAAGCAAGCCCCGCACCTGCTGCTCGGCCGCTCTGTCTCTCTCGCACCCACGCGGCGTCTCGTAAGGGTGCGAGAGAGACAGAGCGACGAAACGATCTTTGGAAAGGTAGCGGTGCCGCCCAATCATTTCCTCCTCCGCAGATTGGAGGACGCGCCAACATTATTCGGCCGCGAGGCCCGGCCGTCGAGGCCGCGAGGCGAGGCGAGTAGAGGAAGCTTTCTAAATTAAGCGCCCCGCCCGCCGCCTGCCGCCCTCCGAGCGGAAAGGAAGGACCTGCCAGCACTGCCTGCCCGCCCGCCTGCCTCTGGTCACAGAAGTGTACCAACTTTTTTCCCTCCCCTTTTTTTCCCGGTTTGGTTTGGTTCGGCCCTGTCCAGCCCCAGCCTGCCTGCCTGCCCGTCTGTCCGGCCCGACGGCCCCCGCCCATCCGCCCCTCAGAGATTGAAGCTGGCTGCCTGCCTGACTGCCCGGCTGCCGGTAATACGCATCCTCAATTTGGCGCCGGATATGGAAACGCTAACGCTCGGAACGTTGTGTCTGAGGAAAAGGAAAAGTGAGTCCGCCAGTCGGAGCGTCTGGCCGTCCGGGGCGCCAGGAAGTGGCGGGCGTGGCGAGGCGCTACGCCGCCACGTGGCCCGGGACCGCCAAGAAGGTGGGGCGGCAGGCCCATTTTCCAAGAGATCATCTGCCCGAGCGAGAGAGAGAGAGAGGAGAGAGAGAGAGAGAGAGAGAGGGAGGGAGACAGAGAGAGAGAGAGAGAGAGGGAGACAGAGAGGGAGAGAGAGAGAGAGGGAGACAGAGAGGGAGAGAGAGAGAGGGAGACAGAGAGGGAGAGAGAGAGCGGTGGGCGCAAAAGCGGAAAAGCGGCGATATCACATCAGCAAAATTGCGCGCCAGTTCTATTCCAATGAAAGTCCGCCTCGGCTGAAGAGTCAACCCGCGACGCGGACTAGCACGCTCATTCCGGACAGAGCTCCGTCTCTCTCGCACTCACGCCGCGTCCTGCGTGGGTGCGAGGGGCGCGGAGCGGCGACTGTTCGGATGAGTTTGCTGCCAGGAGTGTACCCGGCGGAGTGTTTGCCGGGGGTTCCGGCCTAAGATGAGGGGGCCTCAGGATGGGCGGCGGGGAGGGGGGGGGGGGGCGACCACGCACTCCACACCTGTGCGACGGCGTGTGTCACGGAGTGCTGCGTCTGGTCTAAAGCCCGCAGGCGCGCCGCTGCCGCCTTGTGCGAGAGAGATGGAGAGAGGGGGGGGGGGGGCGTCTAAAGCCCACTACTAATTACGCTCGAGGAATACGTGATGAGCATGTGAATCACACATCAGAGGGGGAGCGGAGGAATTCTCACCTCGTGAGCACGCCGAGCGAACGCGGGGCCTGGCGGAGCACGGCCTGATCACGGCGATACCCGCGGGCTGCTTGCCACCAGGTCGCTCTCTCTTTCTCTCTCGCACTCACGGGGCGTCAAAGAGGGGTGCGAGGGAGACACAGCGACGAAAGCACTTTCGGAATCGCTCTGCAGCGGCTGCTGGGATGATTGGAATGTATCACTGTGCATGCCGGGAATACATCCTCACCGGGCCCGCCTGCAACTACGCACCGAATTCAACAAAACAAGGGAAGGAAGCCTCCTGCCGAGGTACAGCAGGCCACCCAACCAGGAGAGAAACATTCTGCAGATAATAATAGATTTGAAGAGGGCGAACCATACGCGCGACACTCCCCCCCGCGCTCTCTCTCCCACACCGAGGAGTGAGATTGAATCATCCAGCTTCAGGACGAAGGCGGCACGCCGCCGCCAGGTGGTGCACCTCCTCCGCCTCCTCCAGGGCCTGCAGGACACTCCAGGCGCGACGCGGAAGGCGGGAATGAGGGAGGGAGGGTCTGTCCGGCACGCCGCCGTGCTTCTCGGCGCGAGCAGCAGCGCCAGCAGCGCGAGAAGAAGAGAATATTGCGCCGAGGGGAGCGACGATTATTGAGCTTATATTAGCCACCATAAAGTACGCACGCGCCGGGGCGGCAAGGCGCGGCGGCAAGGCGCGGCGGCGCGGCACGTCGGCGTCGTTTCGTCGCGCCGTCTCTCTCGCACCCTCCGGGACGGCACGCGAGTGCGACG